TTCAGAGGGACCTGGACAGGCTGGAGAGCTGGGCGGAGAGGAACCTCCTGAAGTTCAACAAAGGCAAGTGCAAGGTCCTGCACCTAGGCAGGAATAATCCCATGCACCAGTACAGGCTGGGAGTTGACCTGCTGGAGAGCAGCTCTGCAGAGAAGGACCTGGGAGTGCTGGTGGACAACAAGTTAAGCATGAGCCAGCAGTGTGCCCTTGTGGCCAAGAAGGCCAATGGGATCCTGGGGTGCATTAGGCAGAGTGTTGCCAGCAGGTGGAGGGAGGTGATCCTGCCCCTCTCCTCAGCCCTGGTGAGGCCTCACCTGGAGTACTTTAGATGCTCTATATATTTTTTTCATTCTATTCAAGTTAAAAATCCTACAAAAGGTAGGATTGATCCAAAGTTTAAATCAAATCTACAGTTAACAGCACCCATTTCTGTCACATCTCTTATTCCAGCAAACTGTACTTAGGACCTCTGTTACAAGACGCCCCCCAAAATACTAACTTTCTGCAGAAAAAGTTAATTAGATACCTTCTTTACAAATTCTAATTCCTAGCTCAAGAAGATTAGGTATGACATGACAGCTCTAATGCTAACGCTCGCTACTTCTACTTACACACATCTAATTTTTTCCACAGTGAGGGTGACAGAGCATTGGAACAGGTTGCCGAGAGAGGTGGTGGAGTCTCCTTCGCTGGAGATATTCAAAACCCGTCTGGATGTGATCCTGGGCAATATGCTCTAGGTGACCCTGCTTGAACAGGGAGGTTGGACTAGATGATCTCCAGAGGTCCCTTCCAACCTAAACGATTCTGTGATTCTTCAAATCACCTTCTGAAGATGTTCACTCCTGAGCCCTGGTTTCTCTAGTCTCTCAAGGATGCAATGTCAAGCCTTTCTTAACTAAGTTAATGAGGAAGCTGACTTGGTAACACAATTGGCAAGGAAATGTGGTTTGAAAGAAAAGAGGGGAGGGTTTGAGGATGGAGGTCTTGAAAGTTTATTCCTTTCTTCCTGCATTTTTCCCCTCCTCCCCACTTTTTTTTTTTTAAAAAAAGAAAAAGTAGGTATTAGCACAAGCTTGTGGACAGAGAAAATAAAAACTGCAGGACGAACATCTAGCAGTTTCCTGAGCCCAAGACAATTCACCTTGAAGCATTCACAAAAGCAAAGTACTTTTGACGTGACAAAGATGAGCATCTACTGACATATTACAGCAAACATCCTGGAAATCAGCAGATCCCTTCCACTTTAATCAGAGTTGATCTTAATTGCATGGAAATTACTATCAAGGTAGAAATAAACAAACAAAAGGAGGAGTAATACTAAAATGTACCGCCCCCTAAATACTGTGTGCTGATGCCCGAGATATGGAGAGAAGCTTGGAATACAGCCAGCAGTCTGAGTGCAACTGTCTGGTTCTCAAAGAAATCAAGAAAAGGTAGCAAAAATGCAACCAAAGAATGAAAACAAAGCCTTCTATGTATGCATGGAGGATATCTTAACTTGCTAACAATTAATAGCGTTACTGAAAGCTCAAGCGGTGACCAGAATTCACCCCACATGAATATCTCCCATTAAAATTATTTTTTTAAAAGATACTGCCATGGACTCTATAGCAGGTACTCAGTGATATCTCACAGGAGAGTTTATTTACTAATTTATAAGTAAAAGACATGCACATATTGCTTACAATACAGAACAACAGCTCCCTCTTTTCTTCAAAAGCTTTGCACTATGAGATTGTCTCAGGCATCCTGAGTGGTATTTCAAACCAACTGCCAAGACACACGTAGTTAATGCCTATCTCCATTCCCCATCATTTCCAAATTCAGTAGTCAAATCAAACCTCAGCACATTAGCAAGGAACTCCCTCCTTAAACAGCCTATCCTGTTAGTATCACAGGTGATGAAGGTCAGATAATTGGGAATTATTTTCTCTGTTCCTGCTAATATAGATACTCCCTGTGTCTCCACGGCCAAAATTCAAACGCTGCCCTCTAAAAAGTAAAGTCCATGATCGCATTTACTGTTCTGTAGTTTCCGTGTCAAAATCATCTACAGTGGATTAAATTCCCCTACGATAGAGGCAGTATTAAGAATCATCACCATTCTGCATCTGTCTGATCACTGAAATAACTTACCTACAGCTGACTGTTAGCCACTATGGCTGGAGTAGAAACATACAGTATTTTCCTGCGGTCTTTGAAGAGGGAATGGGAAGTGGGAAATGAGAACACATGCATTTCCGCTACTCATATATCAAGGGCCCTACGACACTTCAGAAGAAAAAAGTTAGTGCAGAACACAAGCAATATGCTGCATTATTCAGTTTTCAAGACAGTCGTTTCCAGTGACATCTGTTCCACGTATACAGCCAATAACGCTTTCCATCCTTTTTCTGCTGATGTCTCTGATCTTCCCACCTTGATACACCCTTCTTTCTTCTTTATTCCTATCAGGAATTCCTAAAATTATAGCTTCCCCAGAAGAGAAAAAGAGGAAAAAAAAAAATCTCCTGGATCTCCCCCATCCACCACTCTTGCCCTGCACATCTCCTCTGAAACCACCATAGCAGAGCCCTGTAGAAATCGCTGCAAAGAGCCACTCAGAACCGCACTCCACAGTTGCGACTGACTGCCTGTTATAAGGCCAAACCTCATGAGAGCCTTTCCATCGAGGAGCCACAACATTTCCCACCTCTCAGCTTATTTATATCGCAATGATGCATGCATACACACTCAAGGAACATTTGCTTCACTCGTTCTGCGTGACTCAGACACACAAGAAGTAAACTCCTACCTGTTATTGCCCATAGTAACAGGCAAAAAATTCCAAGTCCAAATGCCATGCTGCACCAGGAAGGCAGTGACAACTGCTATTGCAACCAGCTGCGTGGAAGTCATATGACTTTAGCTTCGGTTTCCTCTAATATTGTTTAGTACCCTGCTGTGGCCGTGAAGCACTGCAACAGACAGCACAGGAAGAAAGAGGTTAGAAGTGAGCATTAATGAGAACGTCATAGCAAAAGCAGAGAGACAGGTTAAATGTAGGCTTCACTATTATCTCCTGGCTGCTTCTTGATGGAAGACACAGCAAATTAGGCAAAATGAAGGTAGACAACAAATTACCCACCTGAAAGTCTCATTCTCTAGAGACACAGATATGTCCCACACAGAGCTATACGCTTAGGTTTCTTAACTTCCAAAAACACAAATATTCTGGCTAAAGTTATCCAGCAGAGAGGCTTTGCTGTGGCTTTGAACGGAAACTGGCAGCAAACCCTAACCGTGGAACCGTGGTTAGTATCTTCAGCGCTAAGATCCCGCTGCTAAGTCAGCTCTTGAGGCAGTGCTCAAGCTATCACCTTGCAGCTATTGAGGTAACGTAAGCAGGCGCTTTTCTGGATTTTTTAAGGAGATGTTCCTTGCCAAAACAACAAATTTCCCAAATAAGGCAGCCTAAACAACAAATAGGTCTAGTAAGGAATGAATAATTCAAAACAACATTCCTCATTCAAAAGGGGAGGGGGTGGAAATCAGCTTAGCCAAACTCACAGCTTCTCCCGTACAGAGGTTACCAAATAGATGCTTGGCCAAAAGACAACTCTGTAACAGAGAAGAGAGGTAGCGCTTTACTCGGACAATAGCCCTTCTCCAGACAGAGCATCCCAGCGTATTCCCTTTGAAGTTCAACAACTTGGTGAAAGCAACAACTTTTACATCTCAGCTGCTTATATCCACATAGGATAGAAATGCCTGTAACTGGCTGCTTGACAGGCTCCTTTATAACATGTACTTTCACATGACAAAAGACCACCTCGCTTTGGAACAACGGCAAAAGAAAGAAAGCTACTTACACATGCTGCTCTTGCTAAACCTGATCAAACTGGAGTAGAAAGCTCAGCAGCCGGACTGCTGCTTTCTGTGAAAGGATCTTTTCTTGACAACGGGCCTGTAAAGCACAGGAGTAACTGGCCACAGGTCTGCAACTTGTACTTTGTTGACAAATCTATGGTGCGAACACTATTTCTGCTCCAGATACATGCAAAAGGAGCGCAGAACACCATTAAATCAGGAAAAAAAACTGCCAGAAACCCTGTACACTAGCTGCAGTTTTAAGAAGAGTCTTACAAATAGAAACGATAAATCAGATTTAAAAATCAAGTCCCAAATGCAAGAAGATATGGCTTCTGGCAAGCTCTCTGCAAGACCGGGAAAGACTATTACTGACTTCCCAAAAGCCTGATACTTGATTTAAAACATCATTTGACATTCATGACCTCTGTTCTATCAAGCAAGCAACAAAAGTCCCTTTCCTAAAACAGCTGTCAAGAGCCCAGAACACTGAAGAGTAAGTGGGTTGCTCAATTTAAATGCTGCACAACGAAGGAAAAAAAAAAACTGCTTCAAGTATGACAGTATTTTGATATCTGCAATTATATGCTCTCTGAGGAAGCAGTTCCTGTCAGAATATACATAGTTGTGTGCCTGGGTAGTGAACTGGAAGGATTTAAGGTTTCACCTTAGAAAAAGCAACAGGTTGTACAAATGCTTCCAGTTACTACTCCCAGTTACAAATCCTTCAGTGACAGAGTCCCTTCTGACCATCTCTCGTTCCCCAACCGCTCTCCTGTCTTTCTACCAACTGTAAAACTATCTGCTTTTGTAAGAGACAAAGTCCCAAACTTGTCATTTTTCAAACCAAATCACTCCATATTTCCGGTAGAAGGCAGCCAAGGAAATGACTGAGAGCTGCGCAGCGAAGGGGTCAGTATCAGCAGCAGCAGATCAAATAGCAGCACTTTAGCATAGGAAGGCAGAGTTTTTACATCAGTCCTGAAGGTCCTGCAATGCCAAGTGTCACCTTTTTATTTCATTATAAATGCTGTGCAAACAAAAATGGTCCACTTTGCACTGAACTTATGAACTTTTGCACTGAATTATGGAGACCGATACAATCAATCTCTGCTCCCCGGCTGTACAGGCAGTGACCTCCACTTGAAAAGACGTGAGTTCTGAGACTTTCTAACTAAACCTGCCAGCACACACCTGCCCATTCTGTTGCTCTGCCCGTTTCTTCTAACTTATTTCTTGAAGTGATTATAAAAGTAGAAGTGTTTGATTTCCAAACATTCAAGCAAACTCAACCCGTGAGCCATCCAAGGCATGCAATCGCTATGAAACTCAGCTTCGCACAGTTTTTGGAACGTTTCTGTTTGTTTTGAGAATGAGAACAGAGGCATATAGATAGAATGGACAACCTAATAAGTACTTCCAGCCTTAATAACATATATCCCCAAATACCTCAGCAGATTGAGAAGGGAGGAGATAACACACGTAGCAAGTCAATAAGATCCTAACTTCTCACAGGGCCTTTCCCCCCCTCTTTCTGTGGGAATCTCTTCCAATTTAGAAGAGCTGTTACCACCAAAAGTTGCAATTTGCAGTATAACTTGATACTGAAACTCAAGCTCACTGAAGACCTACATTGGGCATTCACTGCAACCTTCACTAACTTCCAGAGGCAGCTCACTGGACTAGATGAAAAAAGACAATTTCAGCCCTTTTAGCCTAAGGAAAAACGCATCAGGCTTGCGATGTTCTCATCATGATGTTCTCATCATGAGGTCAGAATTAACCCTGATAAGACGACAGAAAAATAGTTCTGTTCACTTTACTGGCCTTTTTCCTAAGCAAGACCACCTTTACTATCTCACTGCTACTCAAAGGAGACAAGGATCAGCTTCTATAGCCTACAAAAGGGGCAACTGAGGAGTCTACCTGATGGCTTCTAAGAATACTTAAAAAAAAAAAAAAAGCAAGGTTTGTCAAAACAGGGACTCCAGTTCCAGCCACTCAGCTGCATAACTTCTCTGAAGGAGACTATCATCCCTATATGCTTAGCTAGGGGAAGTTTTAAAATGAAGAGCAGAGGCTGTGCTTTGCAAACACTGCTCAGCAGGTTCTACACACCCCTCTGATAGCTGAACAAATGGTCTTCATACATGCCAAAGTACTAGATATCTTCAACACAAATGATCTAGATTTTTGCAGCAGTGTGTCCTAGACTGTAGACACTGAAGGGCTCAGTCTGTGTACTCTTCCAAAAAAAATTGACACGCAGCAGAATTGCATTTTTTTTAATTTTGTATTAAGAAGATATAAGTTATCAAAGCTGCAGCATGCCAGATTTTGGCCGTATGCACAGTTGCCACAGAACCCTTATGATATATACAGTATGAGAAATACAGCTTACATATAAAAGAAGCACTGCCTCTTTCTATGCTTCTTTGTGGCAACACATCTCTATTTCTGTTTAATTTCTATGTAATAAAAAGTTTGACTTCACTAGAAAGCTGGCTGCCTTTCCTGCTATTAGGATCAAGCTCAGATACAAGGCGCACATGCCCTAAATTGAGTGCATGGCCTCTAGCCCACAAAAGAGAACATAACCACTAGAAACTGATTTTTTTTTTTTAATAGTTAGTGATGAACTAGGACAGTAAACACTGCCAAAATATTCACCTCCACAGCCACTGTGTATGCATGTAATGCTCCTCTGATTTTCCTCGCTCTACCATACCACTCACCACAAGTGCAAGTTCTCACACACAAAAATGAGACATTAAAAATTATGTAGAAGGCAGGCCATGAGATTCCAGCAGTTAAAATAACTAAGGCCAAGGGATTCTTTTTCTAGTTGAATCTCTGTCCTTCACTCATATCACAAAGGCTATTATTTTCATAACAATACGAGCAGACAGATAGCACTCCCGGTACTGACTTTGGATTTTCTCAGCTCTAAATGGTTCACATCCAACTTGTACTCTCAACTGGATGAGGGATGGTGGCCCTGAGAAGCATACAGGCAGGTTTATAGGCTCATAAAAGTTATCTACTGGTCGATTCTGAAAGCCATCATGTTTTTCCTGGTCCAGCTGGCAGCTTTTGGCTGCGTTCTGGCCAACTGGAGAAGGAGGGGTTCTGCACCAGCACCCCGAGACAAGCATTTCAGATTTACGATCTTGTAAACATGTGTGGTTGCTGGTCACAACCACAACACTTTTTGGTAGGTAACATGAGAAGGATGAAGTACAACAGCTTTTCAAGGAAAGGAATTGCTGGTGCTCTGTCTCTCCTCCACACTAAAATCTCACTCTGCATTTCACTTCCTCTGGACTTTACAGTAGACTCCAGTCATCTTCTCTGTTAGAGAGAGAAAGGGGTCAACCAAGCAGAAATACCTTGACATCTCCTACACAGAGCTAGGCCAGGGCTATAATAGTAAGAATGTGTACAGATTGAATTACCTAAGTCTGGCTATACTTTTACACCCCAGTGCTGCAGAACAGCAAACACAGCATAAGGCAGTACAAGCCCTGCAAAAAGGGTAGCAAAATCCCTTCAAGCTGGGAAAATTAGAGACAGAGATGAGCAGCGTGATGAAAACAGTCAGAAAGCAATGCTAGACAGCTGAAAGCTCCAGGAGAACAAGGGCTCTGAAATGGGGCCTGGACACCTTAACATTGGTGGGAAAGGCAAACAGGGGCTTCTCACCTCCTGCCTTTCTGGTCATCAGCACAGCTAGGGAACATGCCAGGCGAAACACCCCAAACAGCATCTGAAACATATGCCACAGCTGACGCAAAAACCCTATTTTTAAACTGACAGCATCTCTTTTAAAAAGCAGGATGGCAGAACACACACACACATTACTTACTAGGCTGTCTTACACTTAATGGAAGTGTCTTTAAATAAATATATATGAAGTGTTAATCTTCCTATTAAAGGTAATGTACAACAATCCTTTAGGAAACCCCCCCCCCCCCCAAGAATTTAAGTTAGATACTTCATCAGTTATTACACCTGCATTAATATCTGAGCTAATTTAATTAATAACTGAGCATTAATATTGCAGAAGGAAGAAAATCTCATGACAGTAGCATTTGCCCCATATACCACA